GGGGGGGGGCGGGCAAGAAAAGCAAATTCATGAATATTCTGTACAGAGTAGTGAAAGCTATCTGTAAATTGACATATACCCTTGGAAACAAGTAGGCTTCTTTAGGTGTTTCATTTAGTCTGTGATCACTTACATTGCCAGAATGGACAATCTGCAGGGACTTGTGAGCAGAGGGGCTGCTACGGATCAGGCTGAAAGTCTGAGTCTTTGGCCAGCTGTCAGATCCGACTTCTCTGCTGCTTGATGGTGCAAGTGCTGGAGAGGACAGAGCTGTCATGGGGTGGGAGACCGTGGCTGGTGCACTGTTGCCTTTTGAGAGTTTGTGGCTGCATTGCACTCTCAGCTGCAAAGCGGTCTCATAGCAAGAGGGGGTAAATATCTACAAGCAAACTGGGGGAGGGAAAGAAAGCATCTCTTTGTTTGCTGTCTATACAAAGAGCTGTTTTTTCTTTGCCCTCTTACATGGCATTTACAGTCTCAACCTTAGCATTGTAATCTGTATAGTAACAGAGCCTGCTGTGCCTCCTCTTCTGTCAGAATACCATTTTAATTGGAAGTGCTTCCTCACTATTTTGTGGCTGTATCTATTCTTCTGCAGGTCTGAAGCAAATGATCTTGCTTTACGACTGGCTCGGCAGTACCATGGGCACCAAGATGTGATCACCCTTGAGAAGTAAGTATACATAGTAGCTTATGTGAATGCAGCCAGCAACTCCTGCCATTACTTTCAGAAATGGCTTTGCAGCAACCCCCTGCTGTTTGTACTCCACTGCCTGCTGAAAGAAAAGCTTTGTTGCTTTCATACTAGAACAGGTCAGGAAATCCCTTTTCCCCATTTGGATAAACACAAGTTTCGAAGATCTCTAAAAAATAAGCTTGTCAGTCACCCCAGAAGGTCAATCACCTGTTACAGGGCATTTCCCACAGAGACTGCCAAAGCAATTCAGGCCAGAGACTTGAATGTTGCTTTTCAACATCAGTGAGTGGTCTGGCCACTGGGCTGCTCTGGAAAAGGTCTTTCTGTTTGTCACGCTCTGCTGGACATGTTTCTTTTTGTACAAATAAATATTCAATGGTCAAGAAGAAAGATCCTGTAGCTCTGCAACCATGCTGCACTGATGCTCAGCTCTCAGTGAACACAAGTACACACACAAAGCCAAGCAGCTCCAAAACCGGGAGGCACTGAGAGGGCTGTCAGCCACAGGGAGGGTGGCTGACCACATCTGGGTTTCCACCCTAGGTGTGGTGTAAGGTTGCTTATGCTGCTGTAGGGCTGGATCTTCTTAGGTTGTGATTAGAAACTCCAGCCAAAACAAGTTCAAGAGCATGTGTCTATCTGAATAGCCCAGAGCTTGTTTGACTCAGCTGTGTTTCAGATCCCCCTTGGCCCCCTGACTCATGTGGCCAAGACCTGGAGCCACGGAGAGCAGCTTCCATCAGGAGAGTCTGAGGATGGAGCTGGCTCTGTCACTGTTTCACTGCAACATCTTGTCTTCCTGAACACCACAGGGTATTTCTTTGCCCAGGTCCCAAGGCTCTGTAGGCTTTTGCCATAGCTACCATCCCAGTCAAGGTGGGATTTCTGTCCTTTCTTTGTGTCCATTGGCAGATTTTGTTGTCTGGCTAGTAGAAAGGTGTAAAGAAGACAAAAGAGTTAAAAAACATCCTTTCTACCTGATGTGTGTGCTACTATGAGATTGTGACATGTCTTTGATTTGGTTTGAGGTTCCCTTTGCTTCAAGTTTATGGCTGAACAAAAGTGTTTTTTTTCCCTGAATGAGCTGCTACATGCTTTAAGTTTGAAAGGATCTGTTTCCTCATTTCTATATCAAATTGGCCTCAGTAGTAACCAGCTTTAACATACCCTGCAATATAAAGCTTTTACATTCAATCAATAGTCATCCTTAGCTTTGTCTTCTGCCAAACATTCTAGCCTGTAGGGCCTTCAGGGCAGGTAGCAGTGTGCTGCTGCTACATCCACTTCCAATGCAATGCCCACTCTTGAGGGTCTTTGCAATGGTGTTGGGGTCTAGCTTGCAAAGCCTGAGTTGGCCAGAGTGGAGCCCAGAAGTTGGAAATGAGGGAGCTGGACCCACCTTTCATCTGCTGGGTAAGGCTATTAGGGCAGCCACCTTAGAGGCGATGCGGTCCATGGGACATCGTCTTGGTCCATCCCCATGCTGGCACTTGATTTTATGCAAGAAAAAAACCTCTCTGTTCCAGTCTTGCTAGTGAATTAAAATAAACAGCAATTTCATATTGCCTTTGAGAGAAAGACTGAGTAAATTAAATCAAGATCCCTTCACAAACAGTGCTACTGTGTTGCTGATACAGTTGCTTATTCTGGATTATTTATGGGCACCGTTGTAAATTTAGCTCTTCTATACATTTGGTGAAAAGTGACTTCAATATTTAACACTCATACAGTGCTTACCATGGCCATGTTACATCTCTGATTGACATCAGTCCCTATAAATTTAATCAGCTGGGAAAGGACAGCAAGAAGGAGTTTGTGCATGTGGTAAGTGTGGTTTTTTGCTTCTTGTCATTTCTAGACTGTTATGCAGCATATTGAATTACCCGCTTCTGGTGTAAATATACTTTCATTTTGTTTTGCTGATTCTAGAGTACATATACTTGGCTGTTTCTCAGTGGACTAAATACAACAAAACTGTTTGCTTTTGGATTGCTAACCAGCTCTGAGGCTGGTTTCCTCCATAGTGCTACAAGTTTCCTGAGTCACTGCACTATATAGTTACACATTTTTAAGTTAGCCAGTTATCTGCTGTGATGGTTTGGTTAGAGATATGCAGGACTTATGAGTATACTTCCAAAAACTGGAAAGGCAGACCCCACAGGTTCACACACATCTGGGTATAGAGGTCATGAGTGTTCAACTGAGTGGAATACTGTTTGATTTTCAGTCTGAACTTGTATATCTTAAAGACAAAATTATTCTCAGCCCAGAGATGTACACCAAGCAGGTCTTTCCTATCTAGACCTCCTTGCATTAACCACACTGCCAAAGTAGTATCCAACTTTTTATACCACTTCCTTTGTTTACTGAACCTCTCCCAACACTGTTTGTAGAGGCTTAAAGGTCATACAGATTTGTACCATGACAAGGACGCTGGAAGAGAGGTGAAATGCTGGAAAACCCCATTCTCCAGTTGCAGAAATGGATCTTTCTGCAAGAATCTGAAATAAGATGAGGACACTCTGTCTTGGGGGAGAGGAGGGACAGTCTTGAAAGGTGGATGAGATAGATGATGGCTCATTTGCATGCAGTAATGTTGAACACATCATGGGGCTGGATTGAGTTTAAGCTCTTGTAAGCATTTTTGCAATTCCATGCAGAAATTCAGGCTGTACTAACTCCTATTACCTGTGTGGCAAGACAAAAATGTAGAGTAATAGAAAAGAAAGTAAATGTTCCACAGAAGGATGTGCTTTAAAAAAAAAAAAAAATTAAATAAAAAAAAAAAATTGGTCTTTTCAGGCTCCTTCTCCAGATATCTACAGAGGAAAATATAGGGAAGATCACCCAGATCCAGCAAGTGCTTATGCTGAAGATGTGAAGAAGATTATTGAAGAAACACAGAAGAATGGACGCAAGGTGTGTGGTTTGTGCTCTAGAAATGCTGAGGCTTCATCTATTAAGTGTGGCATGGGGGCATGAAACAGGCAACTAAGGATGTATTTATTTACTCAGTTTCACTTGCTTCCTCCTGCCCTTCATTTTTCTAGGCATCAATGAAAGGATCAATAATACAGCTGTAAATAAGCAAATGTAGCCAAAGCACTTTACTTTCCTACTTTATGCATTGAATCAGTAGATTGTAAATATTTTAAGGAAAGCTTTCAAGTCAGCTGAGAAACTACATCAGAATTCTATCAAGGATATATAAAAGTCTCCAGCACATGGAGAAAATAAGCTAGATAAAATCTTGATAATATGTTCCCGAGGCTAGTAGCTTACCATAACTTTGGAGTCATCTAAAAAGGTAAACCTTTCAATATGACCTTAATAAAACCAGACAATTTCTGAACAGGTTTACCTAAAATGTGTGTTAATGTTTTCTGTGATGGCATTAGTGTTTTGAGGCATGCAGGGCTTGATCCAAAGCCCACTGAAGTCCCAGTGGAAGTTGGAACAACATGTGCCCTTCTAGCCCAATGGACTTACATCACTCTTCTTTTAGTTTCTTCATCAACTTTTTTTTTATTCTCTACTAACGGATAGTTTTGTTTTTTTTTTCTTCCCTTGTTTCCTTTTTTTTTGCATATTTCTTAGGTTTTGGTGACATAGACCTGTGGCAGGACAAGTTGTGCTAAAGGCTAAGCCTCACATGCTATGGGAAGCTTCGTACTCTTTGGCCGTAGCATGCCTCTTCAAATATAGTGTACGGTTCTTTACACGTTACTGCTCGGCCTTGTTTCCAGGAAGACTGCGCCAGCCCCGAGAGACCTCTTGATGCTCAGGGAGGGGTTGACAAGTGATGTGGGGATGCAATCCCTTAAATAGCAGACTAATGCTGAGACTTTGGGGTAATATTGTATCTCTGCTGCATAGACCTCTGCTGTTGACAAGAAACAAATTTTGATGTTCCAGTGTATCTGATCTGCTGCTCTTAACCTTCCTGACTTGAAATAACTTTCTTTTTCGTTCCTAGCAACTGGAATTATTTCACCTGTAGAATTTTTCTCCTCTTTTGTCAAGTGCCTCATGCTGACATTTTACTTGTGTAGTTATTTGCATTAGGTAGGGGTGCCCAAAGCATAGCCCCAGGTCATCTTTCAGTTCAGATTCTACCCACCTCTACTTGGTGTTCAGGATTGAACAAAAAGGCTGATCACCACATATACCTGTTACTGGAGAGCCTTGGCTTTAAGCAAGTTTCATTAAGCTCTGGGTGAAAATGGCAAACATTGTGTATCTCCTGTAAATTAAATTTTGTAAATAAATTTACAGAGCTCCCAGGAGTCTGATCCAATGTCCACTGACACCAGTAAGTCTTCTGCTTCCACAGCTGTAGGACTAGGGTTTAACAGAGGTCCTTGTATTCCCATCAGGTTACAAAGGTGGCCCTGGCTACTGCAGATTTGGGCACCCCAGATTACAAACTGAATAAATTCTTTAGCCATAGCTGTTCTCAAGAGCCCTCAGTTCTCCAACCCATTGCGTGATTAAATTAAGGCACACATTTAAATGTTTATTTCTAGACTGTTAGATGTTTGTGCAAAGGCCAAGTAGATGAACACAGCTCTCACCTGAGTTTGTTTTTTGTAGATTGCTGCCTTCATAGCTGAATCCATGCAGAGCTGTGGAGGCCAAGTAATTCCGCCTGTGGGCTATTTCCAGAAAGTGGCAGAGTACGTACATCACTACAAAAGGGCATAACTGGAAAATTAACCAAAGAAACAGGTTTTCACTATGGGCTTATCCATCAATTCAGTTATCACCTTCTCTTGTTATTGGATATCTGAGGTTCCTTTCTGCTTTTTGAAGAGTATGATTCCACTTGTATTTTTTATGGAACATCAGCTGACTACTTATTTTTAGCTGGATAATTGTCTTTCCTCTTCTATCTTTAATCCTCAGTACATAAGTTTGGTGGAAGATGAAGCTGAACCATCATAAATATAACCCTGCGGTACCATTATAATACCCATATTTTGCATCGGAATATCAGATATTTTTTCTTCACATTTAGTCAACTAAAAATATTATCGATTGAAATAGCTGTAGCTGTGTTTCAGCAGCTGTGTTCTTTCTTTTTTTCCTAACCTGGTCTCACACTTGAGAATCTGTAATATCAACTCCCTTGTCCTAGGTTGCATACATGAGACATGTACTGTAGCACTAGTCATTCAAGTTATTCTATTTGTTTTCAGGTACGTGCGTGCAGTGGGTGGAGTGTTCATAGCTGATGAGGTCCAGGTTGGCTTTGGCAGAGTTGGGAAACATTTTTGGGCATTCCAGCTGCAAGGCAAAGATTTTGTGCCTGACATTGTCACCATGGGAAAGCCCATTGGCAATGGCCATCCTATGTCTTGTGTGGTCACAACAAGGGAAATCGCTGAAAGTTTTGGTGCCTCCGGACTGGAGTATTTCAATACAGTAAGTTCGTAGGAGAAGGTTCACTTTTTTTCATTTTGGTCTGCATTAGCAGTTAGAAGTTGTTCAGGTGATTCAGCTAACATCTGCATCCATCACTGCATCACATTACTAAGAGCTTGAGTCAACCACAGTCTCTAATATCTAAAAGCAAGTGGAGAGGCTTTGAAATATCCTCTGTACCAAGTGATATATCTTAATATGGACCAGCACTAGCTCTCTGGCAAGTCATACATCTCAGCTCACATCCATATAGATAAATTCTTCCTTCTCTCTCCCCACTCTGAAATGTTGACCATGTAAAATTTCATTTTCTAAGATAGGCTCTGTGCTGGTGGGGCTCATGCCCTGGCAGACCTTGCTCTGCAGTTGTCACCTAACAAAACAATGACCCTTTACCAGGAAACATTTGAGCTGCATCCATGCCCCAGAGGAGCAGCTTTCTTCTTGGTTACTGAGTCCTATTTCTGCTCCTGAGGCTGAGCCTTCTTCCCAGCTACGATGAATCCCCCTGTTTTTAATGGAGTTTATATGCTCCAGATTAAAAAATATCACTCACTGCTCTTCATAGGAGCATTTTTCCTGCACATGCAATCAGCAAACTGTGAGAGCAGCTTGAATGCTTCAGCTGTGAAATCTTCAAATTACTGAAACCTGAAGCATAGGAAGAGGGACTCCCTTCCTTGGGCCTCTTACACTGCCCAAAGTGTGGGGGACAGTGCTCCACAGCCTGCATAGCACAAAATCCTCACCTCTTCAAGCTTTCCACATTCCAGGCAGGAGAGGGCAACTGAAAACTACATGGATAACCACAGGTGAATATTTGTGACAGATTTTGGTTTCTTATTTGTCTTTACTATCAGTTTGGAGGCAATCCGGTGTCTTGTGCTATTGGTTTGGCTGTGCTGGAGGTAATAGAAAAAGAAGATCTCCAAGGAAATGCTACACGTGTAGGAAATTATCTCCTGGAGTTGCTGGCTGAGCAAAAGGAGAAACATCCCTTAGTGGGAGATATCAGGTGGGTGACTTAACAGCAATGTCAGAGAAGAAAAATAACTGCTAGAAAAATCAACAAGTTTGGGGTGAGGGGAACACAGAAAGATTATGCCATGATTATGCTACACCTCTTTTATAAAATGGACTACCCATAACTGATACTGTGAAGCAATATATTTTTTAAAGAAGTTGTCCATCCATCTGCTTAGTTAGGTATAAGTGTAGCCCCTAGAAAAGCTCTGAGAGAAAGTAGGAGAAAGAGCCATTAACATCCAATAGCCCAGTTGTCAGCACACTGTTGGGATGATGGAGATCTTGTTCAAATCTCTGGTTCCTTTCATTCAGAGATGTTAGTGTGGCTTTTCCTCTTCTTATGTTACTACCATGGTAACTGCCTTCAGGTTTTTGGGGAGGGGGCTTGGGTTGTGGGGTTTTTTTAGTTATTATTTTTGGTTATTTGTCTTCCACAGCTCCCTGGCTTGAGATTTGCAAAATAAGAGAGAAAGAAAATTATTCTATCATTCTTAACTGGCCAGGTAGTCTTAATGAGCCAGATAACAGATATTTCTAGATAAATAAATTTATCGCACCTGATCACCTGAAGTCGCCAGTGCCAAAAGATGACCAAAGAGAAAGTCTCCTCTCTTTCCTACTCCTACCCCACTTACACCCCAGGGAAGAGAACTGCAGTTGTTAGAAACAGGTTTTGTATTTGCAGCAGAAGGCTTGGGTTACTGACACTGTATTTAATTTGTCTGTATTTTTTTTTTCCTCTACTCCAGGGGTGTTGGATTGTTTATTGGAGTGGATCTGGTGAAAGATCAACAAAGTCGAACACCAGCCACAGCTGAAGCTCTTCATCTTATTTACAAGTAAATAGTTTCTAAAGACTATGTGCACTGATCAGACCTTCCTAATATTCCCCAGCAGTTAGTCATTAATTTCAGTTTAAATTTTTGTAGTTTTTGATAATACAGTACTAGAAAAATAAAAGTTTCAAAATCAAACTCAGCCAGAAGGGTCTGACAGGACACAATATAGATTTATACCTGTGCCTAACATAGATGTTTCCTCTTTCCACAGGCTGAAAGAGCATCAAATTCTTCTTAGTGCAGATGGACCCCACAGAAATATACTAAAATTCAAACCACCAATGTGTTTCACAATGGAAGATGCAAAACATGTAGTAGAGATAATTGACGCACTTCTCACAGGTATGTGTGCTTTAGTGCTCAAAGGAACACTCTTCTTTGTTCGTTTCCAGATGAACAAAGGTTTTGTTAGAAACCCCAGCCACCATAATCTAGGCCATTACATGCAAGGGAAAGTAATCAATTACATTTCTTACCACTTGTCCAAAGTGCTGTTCTTAATGCCAATTATTATTATAAATAAATTTAAAACCCCCATATGTACTCTAGCCAAACTTTTAGGCAAAATCTCTCACAGTGTTACTACTAATTCCTGGTCACATATTCTATATGTTAAGGAGCAAATATATTCAGCACAGGCCTGAAAGACACTGCAGAAACATTGGTGAAACTTTCCATAATGTGCTCTATCTTTTTTTTAAAAAAAAAACAACCCACCAAAACCAAAACAAAAACCCCCCCAAAAAAACCCAAACTGAAAACATGATTGTCTCACTCAAATTTAGCCTGAAGGTTTTCAGGCTCTATTTATCTTCTACCTGAGGACATAAATAACGTCAGGTATACTATTAGCATAATAACTCTCCAAGCCCATTCTTCATTGAACGTTCCCATCTCCTGAGATTATAACAACTGGAGCTAGACTAGCACGAACCTGCTAGACAAAGACAGATTTCAAGTCTGAAAGGTCTGTCTGAACCCTCATGCTGCAGTAAAGCTGTTAATTTCATTCTTTTCTCTAAACACCCCCAAACTACACAGTCCTGATACATTAATTACATTGCCTTAGAAAATTGTTTTAGGAAGTATTCATCATTCTTTAGTTATTCTTCTGTGTGATAAATGCTCAGAGGAATAGCTGATTAGGTATTTTATTACTTCAGCCAGCTGTTAAATTGACTGTAAGTTTACTTACCCATGGTTCTTTTAAATTTAATTATGTTATTACATTTTTAGAAATGGAAGAGGCAACTGGAATGAAGACAGAAAACAATGCATCTACAGATGCACAATGTAAAATGAAAGTATGTTCTGAATTTTTTAAAACTCTTATTTAGATAGGTGTTCGGCAGAGCAAGTATACTTTAGTAGAGCATGCCTTCATTTTTGGGGGTGTGAGTGGTTCTGTGCCTTGAAACTGAGCTCAGAACGTAAGTCACTACTAGAAACCTGAGAAGACTGTTACTGGGGCAAATCTAAAATACAGAGTAACACAGAACTACAAGAAGAAACATTATAGACAAGCCCCTCACCTTGTCTGCCTTGTGTACAAACAAGACCAACCAGACTTTGAGCTGCACAAAACTGTGAGCTCAGCAGTCAACAGTTTTACCAGTTCTAGGTATTGCATGCTATTGATGGATATTTGACTTTCTAAGCAAGACTTCAGCCTGGCAGGTGTCCAGGTTTTTGAAGAGTTCCAAGGATTTAATTCCCACCATAGCTCTTTGAGTATAAATGGCTGACATGCATCCAAATTAGGACTTCTTAGGTTGCAGCCCCAGCTCTGGATAAATCATATATAATTTCTCACACCCTTAAAAACATGTCACTCACTGTGTCATAGGAAAGCTCGCTGAGCTTTCTGAGCTTTCACCCTTGGTGAGTTTTCCAGTGATGCTGTGAATATGGTGGGAAGCAATAGCTCAGCTGTCTAGGGGTGTAGGCAGACGCCCTATGGATAATTTGCCATTTAGATCATACTAGATTTGGGGTGCAAGCCTCCTCTTACAGACATTTGTACACATTCAGTTCAGTTTCTTTCAATGCTAAGAAGTTGTGCCACTAGAAGAGAGTCAGTCAGAGCTACCTAATGGGAACAAAGTCCAATGGCTGCCTGCTGGAAGAAATGCACGTGCCTTCACTGACATTTCGTTTCTGTTTCAGATATCTGAAGGGAGTTCTCAACCAGAAGGTGCAAATGAAAGCATTGGCCATATGAATGGAGCTGCCTGCAGACAAGAAAATGGGCTTTATTCTAAAAAGTGCTCACTGCCAACTAAAGGAATAAGAACATGAAGAGGGAAAGTTTCCTCATTCAGTTTAAATTTGTCTGGCTTGCGTTTGAGATGAAGAGTGCAATAGTCCAAGTCCTAGGATTTGTTTGAAGCCTAGTCCTACCTTCCACAAACTGACTGAATTCCTATTAGCTTCCATAGGAGTTTAAAATATCTTTACAGATACATGAGAACTGTACCATGTGGCTTGAAATCTAGATGTGAGAGAACAAACAAGTGATACACAAAATACCTTGGTGCTGATGGCAGGCTTGACATAGGTACACAAACTCAGTGAAATCTGTGGATTTATCTGTATTGCACAGAATCTGAATTGCTTAACCACAATGCAAGCAAATGCCAATCCTATTAAGTTTAAAATTACATCATTAACTTGCTATTTTTAAAATATTTTAAATTTCAATATATAATATTGAGATGTTAATTACTTCCCATGTTTTAATGGCTGAATTCAAAAAATAATGCTTGAGAGAGAAATCATTATCTTCCAGTGTAACTTAGGTCCTATGGACCACATTCCCAGCTGATGTAAATTGGTGTAGCTTTGTTAATGTCAACAACGCTCTACCAAGAGTCTACCACTGTGTGTGTAGAGACACAATGTTTATCCAGGGCATTCTCACTTTATGTTCAAAGAAAATGGAAGAATCTGGACCCTAATTTTCTATCGATAAAGCAACTTTTATAGATAACTATTTATATAGAGTAAGATTTTATGGGGTTTTTTTTCCAAAAGTTTATATATTTAACCCTCTCAGTCCAAAAATATGCAAGTATATATCATTTCAGACACAGTGATTGAGTTTAACCTGAAGGCCTCTCAAAATGAAGTTTCCAGGGACAGCCCAGCTTTCATTCCCATGGATTTAGTTGTTTTAACAATGGTGGGAATTACTGCCTGATCCTGTTGTAATAGTGCTGTTACTTTTTGCTAGTGGTGGTAAAGAGTCGCATATCAGTTGCATAGGATCCTGACACATAAATTGCTATGCTGATGTTCGATTATTAAAATGAGAGGACCACTGCATAAAACATGCATACAACCATTTCACAGCCACTGCCCACCTGGGTTGCAGATACTTTAGCCTGACTTGCCTCCTTCTCAGTGTTAATTTCAATGAGAGCGCACAAGCTCTGCTTCTCTTTTTTAATATAGGTGCAACTCCATGCTATGGGAGACACTGAGGGCTTTAAAAATGGTATGTACTTCAGGAAAAAAAAAATAAGACAAAATGTATTTCCTCTTCAATTTTAATACCCTAAGTTCTGCTGTTTTGTAATTGCTGCTAATGACCCTACTGCTATGACTGAAAATTGAGCACCTTATCTAATTTCATTTTTTCCACAATTTGCTATATTGCTATTGGTGTTTCCAGTGTAATGTTTCCAACATCCTCAAGCTGACTTACCTTCTGTTTCAAATCTTTGAATAATTCTTTGATAATAAATCTCTTATTTGTAATTATGATGTCCTCCATAAGGAGTTTTTTTGGTTTAATTTTATTCTTCAGTAACACCTATTAGATGAGGGAAGTAACTTCAGATTTGACTGGGGCTTGTCTCCATACTGAAGCAGAACGGGCTAGGCTGTATTTCCCCGAGGCCCTACATGTTGACAACTCTTACCCTCCAAGCCAGATGCTACCTCAGCTGCCACAGTTCAGCCCCTGCTCACCCTGCGCCCAGAAGGGTGCCCCAGGTCTTTTCCAACATGAAACTACACAAAGGCCTAAGTCAACCTAATTTGGTATGTGTCCAAAAGCATGGTTTAGGTTACTCCTTGTATGGAGTGAGGCTACTTACATTATACCTCATCTGGCAGCACGCACTGCCCAGCAAGCAAATGCTTGTGCAATTTATTGGAAGGGTTAAGCTCAAGGCACACAGCCCATCAGTCTATACTATGGCACTGACTGTTGTGACAGGTCATTAATATATAATTTTCAAAATCATGTCAAAAAGAACTAGGAAAAAAAAAAATCCAATCAGCATAAATCTGAGGGGAGGTGAAGATTACGACTTCATAAACAGAAGGGTCCTGCACCTCTACCGCTACCCTACCTGTGTCTTGCTTCTGCACATGCTTGAAATACATGGAACAACCATTGCTCCGATTTACTAGTTTTTCACCCAGTTTCTGCTTCACAAGTCAGGATGTTCCCTACCTTTGGATTCTGTTCATTATGCAAGGTGTACATTACCTAGAAGAACTAAGTCTTCTATTTTCTTTAAACAAGAGAGGGTATCACATCCCTCCACTGAACAGGCAAGGCTTTTTTCCCCTTTCTAACTCTCTGTTTCCCTTTTTCCTCTTTCGACTTCACCTGTCCTGGCTGTGCAATTCTTGGTTTTAGCCATATGCTTCAACCTCCACCATAGCCCTTACATTCATTAGACACCTCCATAAGCCAGTTCAACTCACCAACCTTGCAGAAAGAAATAAGACCATGTTTTTTTTCCCCCATCAGTTTTCTGCAAGTCTAATGAACAGGCTCATGGATGAGGCCTGAGCCTGCACAGGACATGAAGCAGAAGGAAGTCACAGTAGGGTGAGGGAAAGGCAGGACTTCATCCCAAGTGGGCATCAAATACTGGAGTTAGTTACTTTTATTGTCATTCTAGCTCATCATCCTACTGGAAACTGTATCAAGGTAATTTCATTGCATTCTAGTAGTTTACAACAGTTTCAATCACTTTTATATTGTAAATTCAAGACTTTTAAACAGACTGGTTAGAACAAGGGTAAAAGGAAGGACAGTGCTTGCTGCAAAAGCTGATGAAAAAGTGATACTGTGAGAGTCTGAAACCACCACCTGTTAATTCTCCTACATAAAAGCAAGCAGGACTGAACCTGTGTGGGGTCAGAAAGCTGTGCCTTAGCACTATTCTGGAAAGAAGAATCAGGGTCAGAAGTTGCTACTGAACTGTCAGAGAAACAGCGCATATCCACATCTGGGGAAAAAAGGCTCAGCCTTAGGTCCATTAAACATTGCAATGGGAATACACTGAGTAGCAGAATTATGCAGGAGTTATTATATTACATTTTGTCTGTTGTTTTTTAGATGTGGTTTGGTTTTTTTGTTTTTTTTTCAGACATACAACACGGTTTTACCAGATAATACATTTATAATCTTCACAGCTATTCAACTTGATGGTTACAAACTAACAGACAGTCCTAACACACTAAAGTCCAGGAGGGAAAAGTCCTTACAGACACACCCAGAAGAAGCAAGTTCTAATGATAACTGGTAAAAAAAAAAAAGGAGATTAATGAAGGGGATCAAGGGACAAGTGTGAAACACTTATTTTATCTGTGTTATTGCAATGTGCAAGAAATTCTGTTCAAAAAAAAAGCCCAAACAGCATCATAAAGCAGAGACAAAATTTCATTTTTAATATGGTAGAAGTCTGGGTCAAAGGTCTGACTGGGCCTGGGACACCTTCATCTAAAAATCACATCTTTCAGCACCAACATGCAAAAAATAGAGCCTAGAAAAAGAAGTCAAAATTACCTATCAGAAAAGTACTTTTAAGTGGAGAAGACTATTTAAATACCTCTTGCAAAATGGGACACAAGAATCTGTACAGGCATCTCTTGAATAGTAAGTTCCTAGTGCTGCTGAGAGGTGAAAAAACAGAAAATGTTAGAGAAGCTTCATTCAGGAATACACTAGAGAAGACAAAGCAAGAAACTGGGATGTCAAGTAAAGGGTATTCATTATACTTTATGGTTATGTACTATGTATATGCATGTAAACAGATTTGTATATAAGTATGTTTGATCTACCTTGTTTTCTTCTCCATTTAATATAATAATTTAGAAAAAACAAGTGACTAATGCTTGCAAAGCAAAGCCTATTAGCTCATAGCAGCAGAAAGGTTATTTTAATTCTCCAGGTTTCTCAGTGATGACTTGAGCAGGTGCTCTAGTAGTGTCCCTTTTCAACCTGGACCTGGCCTGTGCGGTTGCCAGCCAAGCTCCAGCAGAAGGATTATGCAAGGAAAGAAAAGGCCAAATGACTGTGACAGGATTTCCCTATCTCTATTACCCATACGCATTTATATTTTCCCACCTGGAATATTCAATTTTGTCGGTGCCTATGGTTCAGCAGAAAAGCTAAATTAGAAGAGACTAGTTATGTGTTTGCATTTCCCACTGACTTGTGGTGTGACTGTGTCATGTCGTCTCTGTAGGATTCAACTTCCAGAGATGCAGGGTATCTTACAAAGGCCATGAGAGAGAAGTCTGCACAGGAGGGCTCTTCATACTGATATTTCATAAGAAAACAAATTTGGGTCTAAATGAAGATCCTAGACACAAAGCACCAATAGTTTAAAGCCTTCATTGAGCTTCACAGCTCAAGATTAATTTGCACTAAACAAAACAGCCTCCAGTCTCTCCCACCTCTGCTCACAGCCATTCATGTGTGTTAGGGTAAACACTGCTCCAGTATTACAATAACATACATTTACATCAATATGGAATAAAAAAGGAAGTGGAAGGAGAAGAATATGAAGAAATATGTTTTGGCATGACCCAAAGGTTGCTAGAAGTCTTTAATAATTGACAAGGCAGAAAGTCTTGTGGTTGCATGAAAGCCTGGAAAAGGATTCCCAGCTTCAGCTTAGCTATTGTTTCATTCCACAGCTCAGCGAGTGACTTAACATCTTTACGTCTGTATTTACTTCTATGTATAAAAGCAGCTTTAATAACCTTTGTTATGGTTTGTAAAGGTTAATCACTTTATCAGGCATAATCCTGATTATGTAGGACTGCAAGTCACAAAGTACAGTTAGCTCAATTGTTTGCGGTTACCTCATTTTATTCCCTACTTGCATGTGGTTTTGTCAGGAAATAAAGCCCTACAATGTAGAGTACAAAGTCAGAGACTGATTATGTGAAATATCATGAAGCAATGAAAAGACACAACTAGAGAACAACAGGGAATCAAGTCTGGCTAGTATCTCCCAGGAAGCTTAAAGATCTGTAAATACATTTTCAGCCAGCATGGCACACTTTTTTTAAGCAAAACGAAAGCTTTTGGTCTCCATTCCTTGATTTCTTCATTCTAGTCACAAAATAAGGCACAAAAAGAGTTCATCTGGAAAACGCACTTCTAACATGCTCCACTAGCTTGCTCTTGAGAACAAAGATTTCTGTTCACAGTACTTATAATCAGCTCTCAATTAAATTAGCTTTATTCTACTATTAGGCAAGACACAGATCATACAAATCATAAATAAATTAGACTATAAGAACAGACTTATTCTGCACATTCACCTTTGAAGAACATCATTACAGTATACATGAGACCTACAGGTCTCTGTGAGACAGAACCAGATTCCCTTCCAACTTAAGCATCTACACAAAAGTAATCAGCATTTAATGCCGCTCTCTTAACTCACAGCTAAATTAATACACTGTTACAGGTGGTGAAACTTCAGTGAAAAAATAATGAGTTCCAGTGTAAGCTAGATTTGATGTAAACAAGATATTTTCTGACATATATGTATAAAGATAAGAAATATCTACAAGTAAGGACTGCATCTGCACTCTTTTGTATGAAGTGTGTTAAATTACTTCCTAATTCACAGGAGAGGTGAGAGACTTACCTGTGAGCACTGTATGAAAATATTTGCCCACAAATGCACGTGGCTTCACACAAAGTTCAAAAGACTTCTCCTTCATGCCCATATTTACTTATTCCCTGAATCCCAACAAGAGCCCTGTTCTCTTTTTACCACACCTAACCTAATCTTCCCCCAGTTTGGATTTGAGAGCAGGAGGATGGGGCACACTGAAAAGACTGCTAAGAGATCACTTCATATTGCAAGCATTCCCTCCTCCCATAGTACAGCCAAAGCAGCATAAGCCTTCAGGTGATGCTAGGTATCCATCTCCAGATATATTTTCTGTTCACTTTATTTTGTCTTCTGGAATTCATAAAGTTACCAAACATCTTCATCCTCCTTGTCCCTCAAACATATGCCAGCTACTGACTATACCACATTCTGTATAAACTTCCTACTTCACATTGCAGAACAGTCTAGAAGAACAAATAGCAGCTGTTTACACAGGGATTTCTTCTATAAATAATATGTGTGCATGTATATTATGCATATGGTGTATGTGTGTGCATATCTCTATATGTATCTTTGTATATATGAACAAACACATATAAAAACATGCACACAGAAGCATTCCAAAGCAATTTATCTGTGAGGCAATCTCTTTATGTGCAATAAATGTAATGTGAAACAGAGGGAAACACCATTTCACATATTTCTGAGATGAACAAAATAAAGTTGATGAAGGGGGAGGCTACAGGTGAAGACTAGTAATTGCAGGTAAACCCTTTAAGGATACTTCAACATACTGCTGTCATGGGCAAAGATATTTCCAAAAGCAGCAAGGAAAAGGAAAAGGCAGTAAGGTAT